CCATGACCCTGACTGCCTCGTCCTGCTCAGCTCTCATCTTCTCCTTCGCCTTCTCATCTTTCTTCTTGAAATAATCGGCCTCTAACTTATCCAGCGTGGCAAACGTAGAGTACTTTCCAGTTGAGCCTTCCTCCGAGCCTTCCTCCAGAGGGCCAAACTCTTGCACCAACCATTCCTCGAACCGCTCTTTCGACCACTCGGCGTCGAACCAGCCAATGTACAGCTCCATACCCTGGGGAGACGCTCGTTCAATTGGGTGAGGGGGGTTGGGAAGCCACTCGAGACAGTGCCGCCCCATGCCGGGGCCTTGCGCATACTTTGTCTTGCGCCATACCTTTGTCAGGGTAAGATCGAGCAAGACGGGCCGCGGTTCATCTAGCTCGCGTACACCGGTGACTCCCCCGTGGTTGCGAAGGGCGATGATGACGTTTGCCGGGATGAAGTCGGCGTGTTCCACGCCGAGGTGCATGTGGACCACGAGATGATGGAGTATCTCGCGAAAGGCCTTCAGCCGGAAAGGCTCGGTTAACTTTACCTTCCTGGGCTGGATCGTGCCTGCCAAGCCGGCGAAGTCGTGGAAGATGACCTCTTCGGTGACCGGGAGAAGATAGCCGTCGTCTTCCTCCCTATAGCAAAGCTCTTCAATGGCGTGGCCCTCAATGTACTCCATCAGAACCAGGCCGGCCTCCCTGTACTTGCCCTTGCCCATCCCAAACCTGATGGCCCAGGTTCCGTAGTACTGGGGGATGAGGTTGGGGTGACCGGTAATTGTGTTCCTGGTTTCCTGCTTCTTGCCCTTTCCCTTGGAATCGGATGGAGGGGCTTTGGGCTTTCCCCTGTCGTAGAGGTACTCGTACGCTCCGGACTCGCGGCTCAGGAGCTGCTCGGCGAGAACATCGTTCCCAGCCAGCGCAGAGAGGACTCCATTGTCGCCCGGGAAGAACATGGGATCGAAGATTTTGGCGACGACGTATCTTTGCGGCTCCGGGAACGGAGCGTGGGACGGTCTGTATTCAGCGGGTTGTTCCGAAACTTTGCACAGCAGGACTTGAGCGCCGCCGCCGATGCCACCTGATAGAAGCTCGATGACTTCAACAGAGCCGCGTGTCTTGGGGCTGTGAGCCTTGGGATCGAAGTCACGGAGATGGCCCTCTGGAACAGCCAGTTTCGGTGGGTTGTCGTAATGTTCCAGGCCATATGGTTCGACTACCTTGTGGGGATAGAGCGTCAGCGTTTTTCCTGGATCATATTTGGCGAACTGCGAGTCCATGAATCTGTCAAAGGCGGACATGACCATGATGGGCAGTATCGACAGTAAGGATGAGGAACGGATAGAGGCTGAGATGGAGTGAACTCAAGATAGGTAGCAGAGGCGTGGTCAGAAGAGGAGTTGTAGAGAGGGAGTTGAGATGGGATGGCAGGATGACTGGGTGTGGGTGGCCCCAATTAAGGATTTGGGTGAAGCAAACGGAGATATCTCCTTGGTGGCTTGCTTTTGCTCTCCAAAAATATCGGTTGTGTGGATATGTCGGACTCTGGGTGGCACTGTATTCCCATGTATATACTACAACTTTAAAAAGTTTTCGCACGTTACCTTACCGTCCGCCAAGATGCAGCCAGCCATGAAAGTCACACAGAGGAAGAGGAGATCAATTCAGTTACCAGGTCTCTTGGTCGTTACCCCACTTTGTCATCTCAAACCCATTAAGGTACCTTGGTCTGTTTGTCAAAGCACGGCCGACAATGTCATTTGTTACCACGTCATAAGGCAGACAAGCTCAGACAGACCGCAGTGGTGTTTTGTCTAAATGTGCGCAAGTCTCATCTCGTCAGGATGCGGCCAGGCAAGTGACAGCCTTGGCGCCGGTGATGACGGTACCACGGCTCGCAGCCTTCAATACTGGAAGGACCCTGCGCACGTGACGCGATACGTTGAGATGCCGTGATTGCTCTGGAGACCCATATTGCATTGCGGTGCAGTGACTCTTACGGAATTGCTACCGGCAGCCGTGTAATAGTGCTACCTTGGCTTACCGTTGATGTTATGGGTGTCGATGGCCCACTAGATCAATTGCCAGCTATTGTGTTTCGACATGTCGAGTTAGATACTAGAGGAATCTTTCCGGAACAAATGTGTAAAGTTGAGCATACTCCCCAAATATTTCACGACCCCATGCGTACTCTACACGGAATAACCCGTGTAAGTGTAGATATTGGATCCAAAGACACAAATCATGACGGAAATGAAGCCGAGACCGGCTCAGAAGAGCGCAACGTAAATCGACAATGAAAACAGTGACGAAGACTGAGCCCCCCATTGAGTAGCTGAATTGCCGAGCAAAGAATGGTTTGGGGAGATCTTTGAGTATGAGAAAGCGTGGCAAGCATATTGCCATGCCATCTACGTGATATCTTCACCAAGCGGCAAAGGACATGGAAAACACTCTCTTCGGCACTCTTCCGCTGCAACCCGTCTGCTGCCTATCTTTTGTCGTGTGTTATTAGACTACTCGTGTCTCTCGTTTGTACCAACGGATAGGATGGCCTTGCCTAGCAGAGACACGTGGTAACAGACAGGATCATGGATACCAGGCCCGCTTCAACTCGGTCACCCTAGACTTCATAAATCGCCGGGTCAGAAAACGCCGATGTCTACCGTGGTGATAGACAAGACTAACACACGTGTCCGTGGTGGATGGCAAACATCTGCGACCTGTGGAATAGACGAGACGTGTCCCGGCATACCTCGTCCTGCGCGGCTCACCGTCTCTTTGTCTGCCGCCCAGCGAATCGTGATGAATCAAGTGCCTGAGCCCATCCCAAGGCTGGATTTGAAATTATCCTTGGCTTTCATGTCTGTAAAGGGTATGCGCAGGTACGGATGCCAGCCGACAAGTCTCACCGGTTTTGATGAATTTGGTGAGATTATTCGCTTCTATTTGCTGTTCTTCATTCTGTTTGCTATTCTCACAATGGAGTCTCTGATGGTGACGTTCACTTGTTTTCCTTTTTCTCCCAGTTTGACTGCGTTTGAGGGGAGTGTTGCGACTTACTTTGAGCATCTGTCTTGTAAACTCTCAGGCTACGAACACGGAATTCATGGCATGGCCAAACAGTAGGGATTTGAGTCCACAGACGTTCTCAAGATAGGAAGGAGGCTGCCCGGCGTCAGAATCTCCTCGTTGCCAGTACTTACGGCTTTACCATCTTAACTCTACCGAACCCGCAGGCCTTCTCGCCAAGTTCACCTTCTCGCCAACTTCATCTTGCCAAGTTCATCTTCTCAACTTCATCTTGCCAAGTTCATCTTCTTGCCAATTTCACCTTCTGGCCATATTCACCCTCTCGCCATCTTCACTCTCTCGCCATATTCACCCTCTCGCCATCTTCACCCTCTCGCCATCTTCACCCTCTCGCCATCTTCACCCTCTCGCCATCTTCACCCTCTCGCCATCTTCACCCTCTCGCCATCTTCACCCTCTCGCCATCTTCACCTTCCCGCCAGTCTCTCATCGTCATTTTATCTGACTTTGTAATTCGTCATCCCAACCCTACTACGACTGGTACCAAACATTCACTTAAACCCTTGTTCGCAATGTCATCCGTACCGCTCAGCACGACAGATGCCGTTTTCTCGCATCAGCACCGTCTCCCCCGCTATTCCGTTGGAGCCCGAAAGACTACTCCAACATCCATCAGCTACACAGCAACAACTCGGACCATACCGCAAAACATCAAGTTAATGGATATGTCCAAATACACTCAGCTTGCAGAGGATTACAAGGAGAAGGTCCTGGGATCGGGTATCAACCAGCACCTGGTCGCCGAGGGTGGCAGCGTCTTACAGAGGAACGCCGAGCAAGACAACGTGGTGCTTTTTCATACCCATATTGCCCACCCGACTTTGGAGTGCCTCGCCCATATCATAGAATCGGACACCCACGACGTCAAATGCACGTGGGAGCACCAACTACGCCTTCCGTCCATCCCCAAACCCCAGCCTGATCCCGCCATCGCCGCCGCCAGCGGCAAGGCCAAGAGCGACGCCAACAAGGCGACGACGAGTAACCGCAGCACCAGACCGACCAAGAGGAGACGGATGTCGTCGCTACCCAGTGTCCGAGTAAGCCCTATTAGCAGGTCGCACGTCGAGGTTCGCCCTGACATGATTGTTGTCCTGGATCCCGCAGACGCCCGAAAGATCGATCTCAAACACGCGAGTCTCGAGGCGAAATCTGTATGCCTCACTTGCGTTGAGATGAAGCGAACGGGTATTCTGGCCTCCCGCGTCAAGAACATCAAGGCCGCAGCTGCACCTCTCCCCCTCCCGGTCGCCGTCCATAACCGCATGAGAGCGCGGGGTTCGCAGGTGAATACGCCGGAGGCGATCAAGCTCGATGTGGGATCGAGCAATCTCTCGAAGCAGGGGATTGGTTATTGCCTTACACACCGAGTCAGAGATATCGTCCTCTCGGAGTTTGGGATATCATTTTTCTTGCGATTCCCAAATATGCCACTCGACCTTCCTATCAGAGAGCTCTGGGAACATGGAGTTGGTGACGTGATGGAAGTGGGCATATTGGAGGAAGGCGATAGTGAGAAGATGCGGGCTGCCTTCCTTGGCGCTAATATTGAGGCTTTGAAGGATCTCCAGGAAACCGGCCGTTTCAACGTTGGGTTGTGATAGCTATCATTTTATCAGGAACGCAATAGACAGAGGACTTAAAGATGACATGTTTTTACATTAAATAGATTAAAATAACACACCCCAATAAGCATCTTTCCTCAACAAACATCCCCATTCTCGTCTCATTCACTCACGAATAAGAGGTGCATTTCAAGCGTGTGTAGGTTACATCAGGAGGAAAAGAGACGGAGGCAGGGACGAAGACAGGGGTAGGGATAGAGACGCAAAGAGGGATGGAGATAGAATAGAGATAGAGAAATAGAGAGATGAAGATCATTGATAGAGCTTTTAGTATGTCAAACAGCTCCTAGCTATGATTGTAATTTTCCTAACTACGGCAGCCCAAGTCTTAGGGGCATCGCGCACAAGAGCAAACCCGTTTGTTAGAAGGCCGCGTCTAGAAAGAAACGAGGAGTTCACTGGCGTTGCCAACACGACTGCTTCCGTCTCCAAGTCTACGCACCACAAGGTACAATTTATCGAGCTTCGTGCCGACCATAAAGCTGCCCTGCTGGGATGCTTGCCAAGACCAAGTGCTAGAAGTGGAAGCGGAGTCTTTTTTTTACGAGCATGGCGGAATACTGAGACTTGTCTCAGAGTCACTGGAGTGAAGACTACATGCTGTGCGACCCGTGGGAGGAGAGCGTGGTCTGAGGCTCTAAGCAGGTGGTGGAGGATCTAGGCTACTTGACTCATTGTCTCGGTGTCTTGTCCTCTGTGCTACCATGGTCCCATTGCAACCAAGTGCGGTCTCGTTTGTGCGACACGCTATCAGGCTTCGTATCGCAGAGAGGTTGTCGCTGAGCAACCTCTGACTGCCCAACTCGTTGTCTCTGGTATTATTTGATGGACGATTTTGCACACCGGGGCTTCATTGATGTATCGAGTCACATGTTCACGCTCACGCCTGGCTTGGTTAATTACTCTCCGCTGCGTCCATAATGTTGGCATGGAGATGCTAACGGAAAGGGGATCATGATATCACTCAATGGCCAGCCAGGCCGAAAGCGCCCGCCCGTTGCACAATTTTCCTCTCGCTTGTATTCGATCTGTGGCGCCGTTGTACGAGCCGCCACCGCGCCGCCTGGAGCTTGGCCATTTCCCATGCGGCGGTATGTGGGCGTTATGTAGGGAGGCGCAGGTACCCGTCGACTAGCAGAAAGCGCGGCGAAAGCCAAAGCAATAGACCTCGCACCGGCGGGGCGCTAGCCCACCGAGCTGGGAGGGCGTTGTGAACGTGGTGGACGATAGGATAACACAGGACGGTCGTCAACACCGCGTGGCAGTTGGGCATGCGGAAGCGGGAGACATGGAGCGCTCCGGGCTGAGCGGCGTACCGGCACGGAGGAAATGAGACCCAGTTGAATGAGACCACTTTGGGCCAAATATCGAACTCTCGCGCACGCACAGTAGCAGCCAAGTGAGCCACGGCCGAGACCTGTCAATGTCTGGAGGGAGCATCCCTTCTGCAAGGAACCGAGGAGCGCAGTGTCACCGTGTACACTACGAGCGAGGAAAATTTTTGAGGTTGCCGCCGGGCCGCTGGATCCGGGGCACTGCACGGATGGCCTTCTCCTCTCCATGTATTTGACTTTGAATGAAGTTTATGCTGCAGGTTGTAGTGGCGCCTCCGCAGAGACTGACGCGGATATGGTAGGGTTCTTGGTTGCAAACCTCAAATCTCGATGTGGTGGCCTGGCAAGATTGGGGAGGCGGCGGCTGTGGACAGGGGACCCCCTCGTGGAATGCGCGGCTGGAAATGAGCGATGGTGGATGGCAGCCGCCGTGAGTCCCAGCTTCCCGGCTGAGGTTGGTGGTGCCTCGTAGATCCGGTCAGGTCCAGGCTCTCGCCGTGGATGTCCAACGCGTTTGATGGCAGAGGCGTACTGGGTAGCAGACGTGGCAGGAACCCTCCCTTGAGACGAACTGTTTGTGGTGTTGTGGACTACTTGTATGCTCTTTTCCCGGGCGACATTGGTGATGAGAGGTGCGGTCGGGTGCATGGAAGCGACGGCCTCTATCGGTCGATTATTGAGACGGATTCAGTCTAGACGCAGTCGAAATTCCTTCTTCGGGCCACGTAGGGCAGCGGGTGACGACGACTCAGGCAACAGAGGCTGATCGAATCGGGAAATGGTGTCAAAATGTTTAATGGGGTCAATGGGAAAAGGGCGCACGGAAGTTGGATAGGGGAAGCCGAAGCATGGATGCAAAGTGAAGACGGAAAGAAGACAGCAGAATGGCGAACAGACGGCATTCCGGCCTGGCACCAAGGATGGCCCGGCCACGAGTCGCTATTTTTACCGGGAAGGACGGACGAGCACATTCTGACAGCCGGAAGGATGACTGGTCACAGACAGCGTCTTGTCCCGCCGTTTGCCGTGGTGGGCAATCTATGGTCAGGGCAAGAGCGACTGCCACCTAGATGAGGTGAATTGCACGAGGAAGGAAGAATGGGCCAATGTGTTCGTCTGGTCCTTGCCATTGCAGCAACTTTTCTGGTGTTTTTCGTTTTGTGGGGGTGGGCAAAGCACTGGGAACCAATCTGCAGAGTCCGCCTTGGCCCCTTTTCCAGAACCGACATGGTACATGATTGGCCCTTTGCATCTGCCCGTACAGGACAGGTCAATTAATTGCACCTGCCAACATTTCACAAAATCCCTCTCCTTGGCGATGCACACGAGATGGATGTGCATGCATGTTCATCTGGATAATGCCAGGCGGTGGGCCCTCGTTTGCATTCCGTCATTCGCCCGTCCCGCCGCGAGGGGTATGTTGCTCTCTTTCTGGGGTCCTCTCTGGAGTGTTGTCGGTACAAGAGCGTCTGCGACTCTGCGAGTCCGCATGCTGTTGGCGAGTGACGACAGACTGGAAATAGAAACGCAAATGCTTGTCGAAAGAGTTTGTGCCAGGTGAGAGAGAAGATCAACCATGTGGGCTCTCACCTGAAGACAGACGAACGTATGGCCCCCACAACTCCAGGCGCAGCACCGCGAGCCGGACATTGGAACGCAATGCGCACGCTGCACACCGCACGCCGCACACGCACCAAGCCCAGACGAGGGACCTCAAAAGTCAGACCCCCAAGAGACGCACATAGCAAGTCAACACTTGCAGGGGAGGGGATTCCCAATAGGGACACTGAGGTGGTCATCTCCCGTCTGCCTTGGCTCAAAGTGCGGACACACACACACTTAGTGAACCACAGATCCGGCCTCGCATCAGAGACAATAATCCAGTCTGACGTGCTGCCCGTTCCAAGCCGGTGCCAATCGATGGCCGTAGCTGCTCATCCCTCGTTGCTACCCTGCCATGCCCGCCGTTCTAGACCACTCGCTGGCATGTTCAGTCAGCCGCCCATTCAAACGCTTACCCTTACTGTCAGTGGTCACCACGGTGTGTGTAAATACGCAGTGTGGGAGGAAACCTCGTTCACATCAAAACGACCTCGTTGCGTCTTATCCATTGAGGCATCCCGTACATAATCGCTGCAACGCTACCAGAGAAACGTACGGATAGTTCACGACAAAGTACGGTCTATGCCTGGGCCGATGCGACACAAGACACCCTCCCGGGGCAGTCCGGTTGGTCGACGCCTGAGATTGCGAGATGATAAGGTTGTTTTCCCTTTGTTCATGCTATCTCCCTACCTGCCTATATGCGATGAACTATCAGACTTGTGTTTATTCAAGCTCACTCCAATGCTCCGTACTCAGTCCACTCTTGGTCCATACACTACGGGTACTTTCGAGGTATCCCGGACTCCCGCCCGGCACATGGAAATTGAAGAGTTGCTTTTCTTAGCGGATCCCAAAGCCGACGTTGCGATGTCAACCCGCAAAGCCCAAGGAAGCGAAACCTGTCAGTCCAGTGGCCCAGGACTCAAGCTTCCGTGAATTGACGAGGTACGTACTGCGTGCAACCCTAGCGACCCGTGCTCTCGTGAGCACCCGACCTCAACAGACAAGCGGGGTGCAGGCGCAGATGCAGGTCTGTTGTGGTTGGCTGTTGCTGTTGTGGTTGCGGGACGGATAAAGTGCAAAGGCAGGTGCAAAGGCAGGTGCAGAGGATCGAAAGTGCAGGCAGGCACAGGTGCAAGTGCGCGCCTTCTGGTAGTGGTGACCCAGGTGACGGTTCCATTGGACTGGCCAGGAGGGCGGCAGGCGCAAATATTGGCTCTTGCTGGCTGAGTGGCTTGACGCCAAATCTCCTCCTTGGACCTTCCCCTTCCCGGCCGGAGTTACCCCTGCCTCCTTCCCCTGTCCCTGCCAAGGGTGGCCGGTTCCTTCTTTGAAGTTCTGCTGAACTGTGGACCCATAGCCCATAGCCCATGGCCCATGGCCCATGGGGCCACGCCGCCGTCCACGAACCAGTCCAAGTGCCCACTCACCAAATTCTCAGGGCAGAACCAGGTCTCCGTCTCCCTCGGCGGAGCCAACATGCACCTCGTCCTCCAGGCTCAACCGTCGCCCATGACTCCATCCTGTCGCTGCTGTGAGAATACGACCCAGCCCGACCTTGACCCCCCAGCTGCCGTCCATGCATCGCACACGCTCCACTGAAGAAGCCCGTTCACAATCCACCTGGACCCGAACAGGAGCTGCCCGTGAATAATGCAGTAGGTCGTCTTTTGTTTTGCTGCCATACAAAATCAAAGTACTTCCTACCTACGCTACCTACACTACCCAAGATAGGTACCCAGGATTTTTACGCGACTACGTTTTGGGCCCCCAAAGCCGCAAGTTCAAGCCCACTTCACTTGCACCGTCGCCATCCAACTTCCCCTGGACCCCTGCTACCCTGTCCGGCCGACCAAGTGTGCGCGCCTCCCACCACGCGAGCGAGCCAAGCCAAGCCAATATTGCTGCCAGCTTCCCCCCCAAATCGACCATCCATCCCGTCCCATCTTCGCCCGCGCTCGTCCACTCGTTACTCCTTCTTAACCTCGTCTTCCCCCCAGCCAGAGCCAGGGATCGTCGCCGCCTTCCAAGAGCCTCACCTTGCCTCGTCTTGCCCCTTCGCCAGACCAGATCCGACAGAGCTGATCGTCTCGACGACTCGACCACGGCGGGCAACTTCTTAACCCCCCTATTGAGTGCTACGGCCCACCTACTGGCGACCGACAGAAACTGCAAGCTTGGAAGCAACTGGACCTCGTTCGACTCGACCTCAACCGCCCCGAATTACCCCAATTGTGGACGCGACCAATCTCTCAAAGTCTTGTCGTCGACTGTAGCATCGTCGACTCGTCAACTTTTCGGCCATTAGGACCGATTCCATTCGTTTAATCGCCCATCCTCACCGTCGCCTTCATTGGTAGTCGAATCTGCAGCATCACAAAATCCGACCGCAAAAGTGTTCCACCCGTGCAGCCAGTGGAGTGGTGATCTTGTTTTTCCTTGGTGCTATAAAATATATCCACCATCGCGTGCGTGATCTGGTCGATCACCGGCTAGAGACATTCGGCGCCGATCCAACGTGGGGTTCTCTCGGCAAACACCAGCAATAATTGCCTTTTCCTACCCCATCAAAACTCCGTCGTCGAGGACTGCTCTTCTCGACTCGCCAGAACCACTGCAAGAGGGACCAGATTATGTTTGGTCTTGCCAACCTGCGTGTCGCAGTTTTCCCATGATGGCCATCATGTCGTTGTCATCCATGACCCGGCCACGGTCACTATGGCTTCTCCTATGCCTCACCATTGCCTCGGTGGTGTTGGCCGGCTCCGAACCCGTGCTGGAGGTTCTTCCCGCTCAGATCACTGCCCCCGCAGTGCTTCCTCCCATGGACGCCCTCGTCATTGACGACCGCACGCCTACGATGATCAAGGGTCGGTGGACCATGGTTCCGCCCGGGCACGACGAACTGAAGAAGCGAGACGACGAGGGCATCACGTTGACGCCCAGCACAGCCGACAAGGCGTCAGCTACTGCCGCCTCGACTACGCTGACCGTTTCCGTCACGGTGCCCGCTGCGACTGTGGACTCTGCCTCGCCCCTGCCGTCGCCTTTCGACACCAGTCTCGCCTTTAACTTTACCAGCAACGACGGCGCGTCCTGTCCCCGCTTCATCAACTCGCTCCTTACCAACCAGAACTTTAAAAAATGCTACCCGTTGTCATTGCTGCTCCAGGCATGTTTGTTGTTGTCCGTCGGTGTTGTACAAGAGCTGACTCGTCCAGGGCTCGAGATCCTTCTTTGAGGCTGAAAAGAAGCTTCTGAGTATTGTGAGGGTACTCGACGCCACCTGCGGCGCTGACGTCGAGTACTGCACAGAGTTCCTTACCGGTGTGGCCGGTAACCTAACGTTGGACGCCAACTGCGGCTCCGACTACCAGGCCGGCAACCCAATCGTCATGCAGGCCTATCTCGGCTTGAAATCGTACGAGATGCTGTACAAGGCTACCTGCCTTACCGACCCCGACACGTCCATGTACTGCTTCGCCAACGCCGTCACCAACCTCACCACGCCGTCCAACGTCTACTTTTACTACCTCCCACTCAACATGACTTTGCCTGCCAGTGCAAACCCCACCTGCGGCACGTGTCTCCGACAGACCATGGAGATTTACCAGACCTTCACCACAAACCGCAAACTCGCCATCTCGTCAACCTACGAGGACGCCGCGTCGCAGGTCAATACCATATGCGGACCAGAATACGTCAACGACACGCTTCTGGCCGCGGTCAGCACGGCAGGGCTGTCGGTGCCCTCCTGGGCTCTGGCGGCGACGACCATGACCCTGGCTCTGCTTTGCAACATGTTGTAAAGCGGTCGGGAGACTGCACTGATCGTAACGAGTCATGTTTTGAGTTATTTGATTTTCAGCAAGCGCCATGATACCCTCGACATTCTCTCGCATTTATTTCTCCTTCTAATGCCGCATCCGGCATCCGACCTTGTCGGTCTTCACATTACAATTAGTATTTAGTCTTAGTTCTATTCACGGCCGGATTTTGGGCAGAAGAAAAAAGAGCCGGGTCCCAAGGGACGGCATCGGATGGCGGTTTTGTGATTATTGGCAGCAGCCGGAATTTGGGCATGGCGCATCCGCTGACTCGGCGGCATACATTGTCATATACGATGGCAACCACTGGCATCTGACGAGATGCTCTATATACTGTAATCTTCGCATGGTGCGACTGTTGATACTCTTCTCGTAGATACTTTCTAGTGGTGGTTTCACGTTGGTGCAGGGATGGATACGACGACCTGTCATGGTCACGTCAATACAACATGTAGTCAATACGCGACTCATTTGCTCAGTGATACTGCACGAGACCACACACAGGGTCGGAAGCCATTTACAACTTGACCTGCCTGTCTACACTTTTCTCCTGCTCCCTCAGCCTCCTCTGGACAACCTTCCATGGGTGAACCCCATCCGCGTACCCGACAAAAGGGGCTCCAGGCTCGTACCCGAGCAAGTCCACCAGCCGCCTCGGCATCCCGGCCAGCTTGTCCCACTCGACGGCGAGGATCTGGTTCTCGAGGGGCCGCATCCAGGGCTGGCAGTACTGGATCGTCAGCGCCCTCCGGGGGTCGGGCGAGGTGTTTTCCCCGCCGCCGTGCCAGAGGGTGCCGAGGAAGAAGACAGCGCTGCCCTTGTCCATGACGACGGGGATGGCGTCTTTGCGCTGGGGGAGGTGGGTGGTGTCGGTGTCGGGGCCCCGTGTGTGGGAGCCTGGGATGATGACGGTCGCGCCGTTTGTGGGGGTGAAGTCGTCGAGGGCGACCATTACGCCCTGTCGGGGATGTGTCAGTTATGGAGGAGGAGGAGGAGGAGGAGGAGACAGTTGTGGAAAGGTAGGACGGGGGAGTGTTACCGTCCCAAAGGGCCGATGGGGCCTCGGCACCCCGACGTAGCCGTCGTCGTGGTGAAGCGCCTGCGGGGCCTCGCCGGGCTGGATGTAGACGCTGTGAAAGGCGTTGAGGAGGAAGCCCGGGTCGAGGAAGTGGTTGTTGAGCGCGAGGAGGGCCGGGTGGGTGGGGAACTTGTGGAAGACGGGGGACTTGTTGAGGAGGGCGTAGATGCGGTGGGTTTTGAAGCCTTCGAAGCTGTTTCTGCCGCCTGTGGTGGTGGTGGTGGTGGTGGTGGTGCCGCTTGCGCTGGCGATCGGGATGCTGTCCTTGTCATTGGCATGGGCGGAGAATCCTCCCGCTGGCCCGGCTGTCTCGGGCGAGGATGTCAGGCGCACGATCTCGGCGTGGGCTTCGTCTGCTACCGCAGCGGAGAAGGCGGAAGGGATGATTACGTAGCCGTGCTGTTCTACGTGGGCTATGAGGGCTTCGATGTTGGGGACGGCGGGCGAGGAGGTGGAAGAAGAGGCGGTGGTGGTGGTGTGCCGGGATAGGCGGGCGTCGGCGCCGGTTTGCGCGTTGATGAGGGCTTGGGCTCGGGATTGGAATGGCATTGTTGTTTCTCTCTGCGCATGTGTCTCTTTCTCTGCGATCGTACTACCAAAACTATTTCTTGACAGAGTGGGAGATGCATTTTGGGGGGTTACCAGGGGGGGCCGCGACTTATACGTCTGTCGTTGGATGTGGTGTTCTTCGGCAAGATGTGGGTCCGCCGAGGTCCCGGGAGATGCGACTCGAACGCGGGGAACAGGTATACAACTCCAAAAATCTTGAATGACGGGTTGAATTTGGAGATGGTGTGTGGGACTGCCGAAGTTTTGTGAGGGAAAAACTACTGTCCGGAATGAACGGATCAATGTCACCGTTCTGCTGTTGAATTCATAAGACGGACGACTCCGTGAGATACTGTCACTCCAGCCGGAGGGCTCCGCGCTGGCGGAAAGCTTGGGCAGCTCCGATCGGCCCCACTTTTGCCCGGCATTTTGACTGCATGCAAGTAAAGTAGCTCTCTTTCATCTGGGTAACGTAGTGGTGCAGAAACTATTGCAGCATAATTTTCAGTCCTATTCACGATCATAATCTAGCTTGTGACTTGATATAGGGCGCGAAACATTACTTGCTGCCGAAAACCCACTATCCTGTGCAATGCGTCCTTTTGTGCATCATTAACATGTCATACAATCATTACTCCAAGCGTAGCCCTTCGAGCTCCTTGTTCAGCACCTCCACAGGCCGGAATGTGCTTCGGAAGGGGCCCAGCTGCACAACCCTCACCGGCACGCTCTCTTCCTCCTTGTACTCCTCGCCGGCCGCTGCGGCTCGCTCGGCCTCGATCTGCGCCACGCTCTTCACCTCGGAAAAGTCCCCCTTGATGCCCGTCTTCTCCTCTCCCCAAATCTCAAAAAATGGATAGCCGTGGTTGGCGTATGACTGGGCGTTGACTGGGGTGTCGGGAGCCGGCTGTCCAGTCACGGCACAAAAGGACTCGATGCTCAGGATCTGAAGGTTCAACATCACCGAGGCCTCGGCGTCCCAGACGTCGGCTGGATACTTATCTTCCTCGATCGTTTGGGTGATGAGACCACCAGCCGCAAGTCCCATCTCCTCGACTGCCGGAGGTGGTGCCGCCATGGGACTGGAGACGGAAGCTGCGCACATCATCATCTCGGGACCGCCGCCAGGAGCCGCCATGGACTTGAGCCCCCCCATCATGCGCATCCGGCCTCGCATTGGCGTATCATGCACGACGCTGACGGTCGAAAAATTTGGTGGGAAGTAGGTGTCTCCAAGCTTGGTATTATCGGAAAAGTCGATGCGGTACTTGTCAAAGCCTGAGCGATTGCCGTGGTCGCTGAGACGCTGTTGATCGACAGCAATGTCAAACTCGTCGCGGATGAGCTTCTTGACGTCCAGCCAGGTGCTCTCACCATTGAGACCCTTTTCCGCAACGTTGAAAGTCCGGGTGACGACCTTGTGCTCCTTGTTCTCGTAGCGGACGTCAAACTCAGTTGGGAGATTCTTCTTGATGGGAATCACTTCAATCTGGATGCCGCCAATGTTCTCCTCCCCGGTGACCTGGGCCTCGACCGAGAAGCCCGATCCCTTGGGCTGCGCGACGAATTGGCGGATCTTGCCGTCCTCTGATACGATGCCGTCCAGCCAGTTCTGGTCAGGTACCACCATGTAGTCCTGGATCTGCTTGCCGCTGTTGAGCATCCGCACGCGCTTCTCGAGCGTCTTTTCGTTCTCCGTCATGGGCAGGCCGGAAACCGCATTGACACCGCCAACGTAGATCTTGATAGCGAAAGGGGCCTGGGCCGAGAAGTTGACCCACATGGCCTCGCGCTGGTACATTGGGAAGAAGATGCCGCCCTTCTTGGCCATGTCCGGAGGCATATTGTGTGCAT